CCTATTCTAATTCATGGCTAAGAAACACTGGAAAGTTATTTTCAAACAAATTCCATTACAACGTAATTTAAGCTGTAATCTGAAAGGAGCATAAAAACTGCACTGAATTGCTGGTAGAATCATAAATTGGTACCATTCTTTTGAAAATCTCTTTGTAAACATGTGATGAGTTTTAGAAATGCTTCTATCTTTTGACACAGTAATTCTACTACTGTTCAGATTTTGAAATTGCAGTTAAGTGATTCCGGATCTGTAAAACTAAAAAACCAGAAACATATTGTCCATCAAAATGCGACCAGTTTACATTATAAATAAATGTATATTATATAAATAAAATTGTGCTATATAAATTAAATGGTTACTGGAAAGGGTAATATTACATGGAACATTTACTTCACTTATTATCTTTTTTGCATTGAAAAACAAATAAGCAGTATGTTTTAATTGTACTGCCTAGAAAGACAAAGGTGGTTGTTCTTCTTCTTATTTTTTAGAGGAGTCTCACTCTTGTCACCAAGGCTGGAGCACAGTGGCACAATCATAGCTCACTGCAGCCTCTAACTCCTGGGCTCAAGCAATCCTGCCTTAGCCTCTTGAGTAGGTGGTACTACAGGTGCCAATACTATGCTTGGCTAAGATAATGATTCATTCAATAATGTTAATAGTATTATTCTAGGGATACAATGTACTAGTATTGTTCTAGGGATACAATAGTTTTTTTAAAAAGTCACTTCCCTCATGGAGCTTATATTCTGCTAATGTAAGACAATAATAAAGAGTAAAAGTGTTACAAAGACAAATAAAGCAGGATGGGGCATTAAAGTAACAGGGTGACTATTCAAACTAGGCTCACCAGGCTTATGACGTAACACTCAATTTAAAATTTTTAAATGAACAATCATTGTCAGAGAGAAAAACCAGTGCACCATCAAGTCAAAAGAACATCAGGAACATCTATGTTCCAACCCACTGAGATCCAGTTACAGTAAATGCCCTCTAAAAACCTGTACTAATAAAACTTTCTAAAACTAAAAAGATTCCTCTGAAAATGTCCCCATACTTACTCAATTATGGATTTTTGCCTTTGAGTTCTTTTCCTTTTATAATAGCTCAAAATACCATGTGTGCAGTATTCTAATGACACTGGTCATAATGGACTTTTATTTAATTGATCATCCCAGTGCTGTTTTTTAATAAGTATTTAATGCATATTAGGCTTTTTTAAAAAGGCTAAAGATGCAATACTACAAGCAGAGGAAGAATAAAAACAAAAACATTATGTGGAGTCATACAAGTTAAGGCCATCAAATATCCAACAGGATTTCAGAATTCAATTTGACCTTCAATGCAGAAATTTTTACATTTTATCTTAAGTAAATGGGATAGAAGCTACAGGATAGAAAACTTTTAAAACTGCACCCTGGGTTGAATGAAAAAGAGTGACCCAACTCAAGATATCAGTACTTGCTGGTTAAACATGGAGAATTGTTAAAAAATTGCTGATAGCCTAGAAGGTAAAGTAAATAAACAGACAGCCAACAAAGACAGAATTATTTATGTCCTCCTGTTCTGTGCAGAATTCTGTCAGAAGTGCTAAGAACAGAAGAAAAGGCTGGCTCCTGTCCTCAAGGCATTTTTGATTCAGTAACTGCCCTTCCCCCCTTCCCACCCCCCCACCCCCGCTTCCCAAGCAAAAGTCACTTAAAAAGAACAATAAGAGGTAAAAGCTTTACAAATTAGAAAACAGCCTGAAATAACATTTGAAGTTTAGTGAAACCATATGCCAGGTAGATATAAAAGTGAAAAGAAAATCCAAATTACAGAAATAGAATGGGAAAGAAATGACTGGTTATATGTATAACTTAACAGGAGTTTTTTAAAAGTCTAGAGTACATAGATAAAAAACTGAAAATAAGATCAAAAATAAGTAAAACAGTCTCTCTTTTTGTTAATAGCCTTTTAAAATGCCAAGCTCCACCTATCAGTAGTGAATAGAAAATCAGCAAAGTAGTTATCCTATTTGGTTTGGCACTGGTCTATCCATGGGAGTGAACTCTGAACAGACTATTTTCTAAAGGGTGAAATGGGCTTAGAAAAACACAGGATGATTAAAAGCACTGTCTCTAAACCTGAACATAATGCCAAGAGGTAGTCAGGAAACATTACAAACTCAATGTTCAATTAGCATTAGGAAGCTAAAAGATGTAATTTTATAATCTTATTTCCATTAAATCTAATTTTCATTGATGACCCTATATAAATAAAAGTGCTTACCTATAAATAATCACTTTGGATTGCTTTTAAAAATATAAACACGCTATCAAAAATTTATATTTAAAAATATCAAAGAATTATACTTCTTTGCTTCCCATGAAACAAAGAAACAGCCTAGAAAATGAGTTTTTGTTTTTATTGTTTCTAAAATTATCTCTTGCAGCATAATCTGCAGCAGTAAGCATAGGACACTGGGAGCCCATTTCCAAAGCTCATACAGAACCGAACAAGATAAAAAATGGCATTCTGGTTAATGTGTATCTATACTTTAGAGGCAACCTTAAAAACGACAAAAGTGATTATGGGTTAATGGGGGGTATCTTTAAAGGAAAAGAATGAATTCCATCTAAGAGTTCATACCTTTAAGAACAACAAGAAAACAAAACAGATGCTTGCAACTCATGAACCAAAACACACTTGCCATTTCCTTCCAGTAATCTGCCTCCTCTTCCATTTCTTATCACAGGAAACTGTACCACCATCCACTCAGGTACTCAGAGTAAATAAAATGTTAGCTATCACTTAACTTCACACTCCCTCCCCTACTCACCTGAAAATCACTCCAAATCTTGTCCATTTTAATCTCTCTTCTATTTACCTCTGCTCTCTTTTCACAGACACCTCTTACAGAGGACTGACTAAGTCCACACAAATCAACAGCCACAACAAATATTAAATGGATCCAATCCATCCACTATAAAGATACATACAAGATTATTTTGTAAAGAAAAGGCTGATACAGTATTAGGAATAGCAGGCATTACTAGTACTTTTACAACTAGAGTACAAAGTGAAAGTATTAAAGAGAAAATAGATAATAGAGAACAGCTTACCAAGAAAATATAAAATCATGGACATTCTTACACAAGGAGAAACTGGCAGCTCCACAATCACGGTATTTAATGCAGCACTCCCTTCCTCTCTGGTTTTGTTCCTAGTCTATTTCCTGCTTTACTGACCTCTTTAAAGTCCTTAAATGGCTCCCTAAAAGTCTGTTGCTTATTTGGACTTAAGAAAAAATTTATAATAGAAAATCTCAAACATAATGAAAGTAGAAAATATAGAGTAAACCTCATTAGCTACAACAATTATCTTTTTTTAAAAAAATCTGTCCTCTACTCTATTTTTTGGACAATTATCCTTTTTTTGGACGATTATCTTTTTTTTAAATCTGTCCTCTACTCTATTTTTTGGACACAATCTAAGAGACTACATAATTTCATCTGTAAATATGTCAGTATACTTCTCTAGGATAGAGATTTTTTTTTTCCCCTAACATGACCCAAACACCATTTTTACATCTAACAAAATTAACACAATTTCTTTAAAACAAATATCCAGTCAGGTCACCTTTATCCAATTACTTATTTTCAAGACTGCTTTTTAGATGGTGGCATGTCCTTCTGACATCTATTGTTTCTTAGCATTGCGTACCAGGTTTTTCATAATCTGGCCTCTACCTGTGCTTCCAGGCTCAGTTTTTGAAACTGGTTTTTTGTTCATCCCCTAAATCCTGGGCTTCCACCATATTTACTGAATTTCTGTTTACTTCACATACAATATCCCCTCTTATCAAGCATTATATAAAAATGTTTTAGTAGACCAGTCTTCTTCCCACCCCCATCCACTTGCATACACACTTGCCTCTGGTGCTTCAGGTCTCAGCACAGGTGACACATCCTCCAACAAACCTTTCCTGCTACAACTCCCTGGTATGTGCTACTGGACCTAGAAATGAACTTTCAAATATAGCACTTACTACCCATTGGGTTACAAAACCCAGTGTCCCCTCTCCTCTAATTTCCCTTTCAACAAGAAACACCAATTTATAATTTTCTGCTTCTTAAGAAACCAACCTTCCCCTCTTGGGTGCTTTGTGCCCAGCACGTTCACAGTATGGCTACTATTCTTTACTTCTACCTTTTGACCTACATTCATACATAATTATACAAACCTCTTAAAAACGGTGTTCTGTAAGTGCAAATCAGACTTGTTCAAAGATTGTCAATAGTAAGAAAATGCACAAAATTACTTGAATGTAATATTTAATAATCATAAAGCTTTCAAATGTGAAAAATATCTGGGTGTGATAAAGACAGGTACAAAAGGGATAGTGGATAAAGAAAATCCTAACTCTAAAATAGGGCTCCAGAATCCTATGGTTACAGGAGCAGGAAAAGGCTTCATTTTTCTCTGAAAGTGGCAGCGACTTTAAGAACAAGAATGTACTAATCAAGGGCATTATTGCTCTTCAACAGATAACTGCCTAAATATATACTTTCTTTGCAGAGGTTTTTACTGAAGTGCAATCAGAAACCTTAATTTGAAAATCAACTGTCAAAAAGAGTTTTGTAGGAAATGTTGGTTGACTGTTTCATGTAGCTTTCCTTACCTACAACAATAAAATCATGCAGAACTGAGTAGAAGTGAAAATTTCTCGAAGTGCTTTAACAATCTAATTTATACTGCAAAGCCAAGTGATTATTATAGTGTGGATTTGTTGTTATTTTGAGCTTTTATTTGGAAAAGTATTTACAAATATATACTTTAAACAATTTCATCAACGTTGTGATCATGCAAAGCTAATTGGGCTTTATCACTATTATGCTATATTTCCTCTGCCAAAAATATATTTTATTTTCAGTTTAACACTAGATTGGAATATTTTCCAGGTGTTTAATAATTTTGACTACTTATCCTATTAATGATTTAAATTTAATTAGCCTGTGATCGCTTCAGCGGCACATATACTAAAATTGGAACAATACCGAGACTAGAATGGCCCCCACACAAGGATAATATGCAAATGCCCAAAAACATAGTTCTAAATGCTTTAGTTATCTTATTTAATCATCCCCACAACTCTATGAAGTTAAATTGCCCAAGGTCACCAGCTCGTAAGCAGTGAAGCCAGCACTTGGTACTTTGGTAGCTCTGACTCAGCAGGCTGTTCTATCCCTCTTTGGGAAAAGCATTACAAATGAGCACAGCACACAGCTTCAAGGTGAATTCTCACAGCAAAGAAAAGGAAATGGTATAGCACAGCCCTGCTATGTCAGAAGAACCAACATCAGACGTCAGTGGATTCTCATAGCAACATCTCCCCTGCTGCTTCCTCTCAACACACAGGAAAAATGTTCCAGAATCAACTGAGAAGACTAGCATTGCATTTATAAATGTGATTCCCAGGCTTGGTCGGTATCTCCCCAAACCTTTCCATGTACATTCATTTCAGATATCGGGGACGGAAAAGAACTAGACCATATCTGGAGGAGGAGAGGAGGACCACACACTTCATCTGTGTTGTGAACTATGTTGAGAAGAGACCAGTCTGTTACAGTACAGAGCCTTGGGGAGATCTGTGCGTGTGTCTTCAGGCTTCCATCCTTTCAACTGAGGAACTCTGCTTCTCCTTCTATTTTAGAGAGATTACATAAAATCTCAACTGAAATCTGGGCTCCATGGCTATAGAAGTTTAAAAGCTGATAGTGCCATGACAAAGCCCTGGAACAGAAGTCAAGAGACCAGAATCTTTCTCTCAGTTTGGCTACAAACAAGTCATGATTAATACTGGGTCGGTAATTTTGCAATCCTCAGTTGTAGTTTTCTCAGCGTAACAGCATAACTTTAGATTTCTAAGACTCTTGGCCATATTAAAAATATATCATTATATAAAAACAAAGAAAAGATACGTGAGTGTTCTCACCAAAGAATGTTAAAGAAGGTAAATAAAAATCCCATGTCTCACAGAAAGAAAAGAAGTAGGGTAAGATAATTTATTGCTAAAGAGCATACTAACCATCATATGATCTAGTGCTCACAACATCACCATGAGACATCATATAAGAAACCAATTATTTCCCAAATAGTTTTTTTTTTTTTCGTTTTTTCTTTTTCTTTCTTTCTTTCTTTCTTTCTTTCTTTTTTTTTTTGAGACAGAGCTTTGCTCTTGTCACCTAGGCTGGAGTGCAGTGGTGCAAACCTGGCTCACTGCAACCTCCACCACCCAGGTTCAAGTGATTCTCCTGCTTCCACCTCCTGAGTAGCTGGGATTATAGGTGTGCATCACCACACCCGGTTAATTTTTGTATTTTTAGTAGAGATGGGGTTTCACCATGTTAACCAGGCTGGTCTCGAACTCCTGACCTCAGATGATCTACCTGACTTAGCCTCCCAAAGTGCTAGGATTACAGGTGCCAGCCACCGAACCCAGCCAAGAGTTTTTTGTAATGTGGTATTTTTATTTAGCTTGATGTAGATAATTTATGGATAACATGTCCATATGAATTTACTATTAGTAGATAACAAGTTTATTCAATAACCATGGCCCCTATAATATGCCCTTGCTAATCTCAGAAGCAAATTAAACACAGGTCAAATGCACATTGTAACATCTTAGAATCCTAAAATCTAGGTTATAACCCTGACTCTGCCATTTAATAAGAATTAATGCAATCTCCTTAGTCCTTAGTTTCTTCTCTCCTACCCCCATCACATTCTCAAATAAGAGACTATGCTAAATGATTGGCCATTGGCATATTATAGTTGATCCTATACCTTTATTTCTCATGGCAATCACACAGTCAGAATAAGTCACATGAGAAGGAAAATAAATTCATGGAAGAATCACCCACTAGGTTCCAGTCACTACTTAAGGCATCTGAATGGAACAAGAGGACACTATGAGGATGGGGTTGGGGGTGGGGTTTCCAACAGGACTGACGCCAATTAAATAGGATCTTAATGAAAAGCTCCTGATTCAGGTTTATTAGAGAAGAAATAAGGCATTAAAGCTAATGAAAATAATTTTATAAAGTTGAAGGTGAAAGGTCATACTCCCTAGAACAAGAGATGGTTAATTAGAAGGTGAAACAATAGAAAAGTTATTGGGTGAGCTCAGAGGCCAGCAATAAAGAACATAAAAGAGTAAAGTATTATGCTTTATAATACTAACTGACCCATATACAAATGAAGATTCAAAATCAGGAAATAGAATAATACCAATTAGTATAAACTGATTAGTGTTTATAAATAGTTGGTGCTTTAAAAGGCCTTTTCCAAAATACCTAAAATTGAAATACGACAATATTCCAAGTAATCTGAAATTGCATATTTTGATTTAAAATTAAACTACCAATTCCATTATTATTAATGTTTAAAGGTAGACAATTTACAGTAACAAGCTAGATGAGACCTCACTGGTAATAGATTAGCAATCCCAGATTGTGTATTTTTTTCTGGGTTGCAGACTATTCCAGTCCTAACATCATACATGACACACACTCCTAAGTCAGATAGCTTTGAGAAAGCAGCTGATTATGTTTTAGAACTCTGTTAATTAAAACCATAAATTCCTATCCCAAATGTTTTTTGGAACAAATATAAACAATGTGAATTCTAGCAAACTTTTTTATTTGAATTATTTGAAGCATTATTTATGGCTATTTTTGAAAATGTTATGTTTGTTCAGTAATATTTGATGAATAATGTTAATACAGTTTTCTACCAAGTAACATAAAGATACGTGATGAAAGACTGAAAATCTAAATTCATGTAAATGGTAATAAAATAGAAAAACCTCTAGGTTATTCATAAAATAAACCAAACTTAAATGCATTTCCCCCAAACCAACATACAATTACAGAAAGTTATTCAAGGCATAAGACTGAATATAAAACAGGGATTCTGCCTTCAACATTAAATTCAGGTAAGTGCTTTCTGTATTGTGACTTCAAGGAAAGCTGGGAAATTTTACAGTTCAATGGGATTTCTCCTTTACTCTTTGTAGAGATTGAAAAGTTAACCTTAAGTTACTAGGCCATGATTTTGGGAATAAATAAATCGTTATATCACATTATACACCTTAATATATACAATTTTTATTTGCCAATTAAAAATACATCTTTTAAAAGAAATCTTTATAGTGATTGAATAAAACATCACGTACTTATGTTGTACCACTGACCAGAGTTTCTACATAATTCAAAATTAACTGTTACGACTGGCTTTTGAAGTAACCCTGAGAGTCACTCCCTAATCCCTTTCATCCTTTGGACTTTTACGCCAACTACTTCCTTGGGAAACACCACCATCTGTCAGTCAGCCAGGACAGAACCAGAGAGAGACTCCGCAAGTTCAGGACAAAAGTTTCCAACTACTTTTACTCTCCACTGCATCTCCTAACACCACCACTCTTTCAGGGCAGGGTTTAATCACTGCTAGAAAACAAGGTTCAGGAACTGAGGAGCCATTAGCCTGGCATGTGGTGACACATTTCCAACACAATTCTCTAGCTTTCTGATTTCCCTTCCAAAAATAAATCCAAGGGGAATTAGAACCCTTAAGGATCAGATTGAGATTAAATGCCATTGGCTTTCTCCCTGTACCTATGCTCCTACACATCGCTTTAGCCCAGCACAGGGTTTTAAAGCTCACTGCTTACACAGGGCTATCTCCTCTGCTGGTTATGAGCTGCAAGGACAGAGTCCATGTCATATTTGTGTTGGTGCAGCTGGCCACTAGCCAAGAACCTGCAGCCCGGCCCTAGAATAGCTGTTGAATGAATGTGGCAGCCCACACACTCAAAGACACCAGAATTATCTTACCCTTTCCCAGACAGCTTCAGGTACCTTCCTTTTCCTAAGTGAGACACTAATGTGTCTGTATAATTATGGCTTCCATATGTGACACAGAGCCCAAAAATTTCATCTGACTTACTGTGGTTTACTTTTTGTGATTGCATTTTTATTATAACATATCTCATATAAAAAGGGGGATATAACAGAAGTAAAAAACAGTAGAGCAAAACCCCTATCTAGCTTCAGACCATTACATATCCACTGGAAGCCCTAAAATAATGTTCCATGATCACATGGTCTTTCTGCTGCATAAGCCTGATGTCATTTTTTGATACATAATTCTCAAAGTATATAATGCTGAAAGGCCTTGAAGATCTTTCTTAAATGATTTATGGTTAAAATTTCTATAATTGCAGTCCTCAAAATCATAATAAATAAATCCTTGGAAAAGACCTCACTTATCTCTTTTTCTTCATTCCTTCACAGTTCAGCCCCCCACCTCTCAAGAAGCTGTATAGAGCATGGAGGGCAAGCTAATCCTTCTCCAGAGTTTATGACAGACACTGGTTCCAGTATTTCCCAAATACTAACATTAATACACAAAACCACTCTATGGGGTAGCCACCGTTACCACCCCTATCTGAGGTATGAGAAGTTAGAAATCTAACAAGTAACAGAGGTAGGATTTGAACCCATCTGAGTCCAGGCTCTTGACCACTATGCTATGTTGTGATCTTCTGGGATCTTGGGCTATTTTTACAATTAGAAATGTGACCTAAGGGCAGTGGATTTCCATCTTTGTGAGTTCTTCCGGGGAGAGACTGCACTTCTCCTGGCCCTGTCACCAACCCTTCCTCCTCATAGTTACCATGTATGTAACTATCAATGTTTGCCCAGTAGGGTGACATTCTTCCAAACATTAGCTGGCCCCACCTCCTAACACACAAGCTAGAAGCTCTAGGTCATTGACCTCAGTGCCTGTGCAAATGTTTATCAGGCTTGCCCAGTGACTTATAGAGGGGCATTTCCTGGAAATATTGTGGTTAGACATTTCATTCAGTGAGGTGTTCAGAGCATCTGAATCACTCCTGTTGCCTAGTAACTTGTTTGTATTTGGCAGGATGAAGACAACTCAGGCATAGGTACAGTCAGACACAAAGCAGACATCTGTTCAGCACGATGTCCTCCCACCACTAGACTGCTGATTTAGTGCTTAAACTTGACACTGTTCTTTCCCACTTTCTCACTGTCGGTAGAGGCTCCTTCAGTTATTCTCTTTAAGTCAGGAGCATTCAAAAGGCACTATGCTGTACATAGAATCAACAGATCCTTTGTTGCCAGAGTATAGGCTACTGTTTTTCTTACTGAGTTTTGGGGAAAAAAGAACTTTAAGACAAAGCTGCAGGGTTCTTACATATAACAGGGAAAGGAGTTACATGGTATCATGGAAATTACTTGCCATTCCTAAAAGAATTCATTCTCTCATATATTCGCATATTTGTCCCTTTTTTTAATAACAAAAATTGATTACCACAATATCAATATCTTCAGAATCAAGGAGATTCACCCTCCAATACCATCATGAATACAAATATACAGCACAGCTGACCTAAAGTCACCTTACTAACGTGCGTCTTCAAATTGAAGTTAGCATGTGTGCCTAGGTTACTCCAGGAGCCAAAAGTCTAGAATAAAACACACTGGGCTTACAGTCCATGTAATTTCACTGACAGTTACGGCTTTTCCTCTAATATTTTATGTCTCCACTATTTTCCCAGTCATCTCTATGCGTTAAATATTCAGTGGAGGAAAAGTGGTTTTAAAAAGGCCACCCTGCCACCGCCCCCATCCTGAGGTTTCTGTTGTTTCTTTCGTTTTTGCTCTTGTCAGAGGACATGCCTGCTATGGAAACAAGAAAATAAGACGCAAGGGTGTGCTTAAATGTTACTCCTAATCTTAGTGGGAAAGTCCTGCGTTCTACATTTATTTAATGTTTACGGACAGGAGGACACAAAAGTTGTTTAGAAAATTTTCTTCTTTCTTCCTTTCGCCCAATAATATTCATCCGAACCTTGGGGTTTCAGTACACCTGATATTCAGAAGAACTATTCACAATCACATGGATATTAATTACTTCACTTTTTTAACAACTATAAAATGGGTATGAGTTTACTTAGCAAAGATTTTTGACTTAAACATATATTAATTCTTTAACTCCTCCAAAATATTTTTTCTTTTTAAAAGGCATAGTTAAGGAAACAAAAAATCTTTCCGTATTAAAAAAAATTATTGAATTCCACCAAAGTCCATAACAGATTTAAGGAAACAGTACTCTCATTATCTAGAACTGGCTAACTGTAGGCTGCAATTACTAGTGGCAAGAAATAAGTGGGTTAAATCACTGTCCAATTTCAAAGTCCTTAGTCATGTCTCTTAAGGAGGCTTTTGCACTCCGCAGTTTGTAGTGGGCCTCCTGAAGCCCTGTAAAATGTTCCAGCTCATGCAGGTAACCGGAAATAGAAAGCTTAGTTCTTCAGATTCTGAAAACAGAGTTTAGGTCTTGGGAAATCAAATTGCCAGCAGATAGATAACTGGCTCACGAATTTGTTGCCAACTACCTGTATGATACAAATTTCAGTAACATAAAAGAATGTTTGTTCCCATGCTGTGACTGAAGATTTCTAATAATTAAATAGCAGAAGAGCCCCATCTATGACAGCAAGCCAGTTTAGTGCATTTGTATACTCTAAGAGCTAAATTACCACTAATTGTCTCGTCTTTTAAAAATTTATTTAAACTTCATTAGATATGTGAATGTCTGTTATGGTCAGGTGAATGAGACAGATCTTGTCCCTGGCCTCACAAAGCTTGCAGTCTAGTTGGAGAAACAAACAAATCATTATCGCACAGGGAGATAAATGTTTAGATAACTGAAAGTTCAGGATGCTCTAAGAACACATTCCGAAGGCACACAACCCAGTCTGGTATTTAAGGTATGAGAATTGGCAAAATATCCAGACCCTGGTGACAGCACATACTCTCACAAGTTTCTAGTAGACGGGTAGTAAGAAAACCTTCCTCTCAGAGAGGCAATTTAACAATAGCTATCAAAATTACACATATACCTTATGACCTGCAACTCTACAAGTTTATATAGATATATTGCATACATGCAAAAGAACCTACATACAGTTACTTACAGCAGTATTGTTAAAGAGTGAACAATTGGCCACAACCCAAATGTTGTCCAACAATAGATCACTATTTTAACTGTGGTACATCCATAAATGGAATCTGTTACTCTAGAACTGCTTTAAAAAAGAGAATGAGGAAAGTATCTTAGTACTCACTTATAAAATCCTCCTACATATATGGCAAGGAAAAAAAAAACATAAATTGCCGAGAAATATAGTATGCTATGTTTTACATTATAAACGGGGCAAATAGGAATTAATACTCCTATTTGCTTATTTATGCATAAAGAAATTCTGGAAAGAAGCATTAGACAATCACTGACGCTGAGAGGATGGTGGAGGCAGAATTTGGGCACACTCTCTGAATGCAAAAAATGTATGAATATGGTATACTTAAAAAGTAATCCTTACATCAAGTGTGTGGGACATTAAAAAGGGAAAAAAACAGTAATCCTTTATTTTTTAAGCCCAAGTTCTATCAACCTAGCACCTTTTTTTGATTTATTATTTTAACACGCTTCTAAAATTCCGCAGTGATGAAATTAGAACATAAGACTGCTTTATTTTCCAAATCAGGGTTCTGCTGTCTCCTTTCCTGCTTGTGCCTGTCTGCCATCCTGGAGGGAGTTTTCCCAGAATACCTGCGAGCGAGGCGAGTCCTCTGTGCCTCTCTGCTCTGGTGTGTGGGCTGAGGATAGTTGAGGGTTTTCTTAAAGCTCATGAAAGGATTTTGTTTTGTTCACTGCCTCATTCGCAACACTGAAAAGAATGCCTGGCACACAGAAAGCGTTCAGTAAGTATTTGTTGAATAAATGAATTCTTTTCTTCACTCAGCTTCAATGAGACAGACACCACCAGACAAAGCGAAAGATATCAATGGTGTCAAATATTTAGAAATAGCTGCCATTTCTAGTATCGGCTCAAAATAGGCATTCTAACCTTAGCAACATTCTTAGAATTATTGTGAATTTCACAGAAGACAAATAATGCTATAGAATACTGTGCTGAATAATCTTAACTACCCACAAATATTTATTTTAAATAATTTGGGATTACATGGCTCTCGTGTCTATCTTAGGGTGGAAATCTTCTTAGGCAAACACCACACTAGACAGTAATGGATAAAAAGAAAAGAAAAAACAGCTATCATCAGAGTCAAATGAGCCCTAGTTGTAAGATGCCCAGAGATAGAGCAGGAAAAGAGAAAACCTTTTGCACTAAAAAATACAACTGCTATTTTTACTTTCAAGAATAAAATTACACTCGAAATTAAATTCAAAGTACTCCAGGCAGTGAACTGAGTTGCACAGCTTCAACCACAGAAAGCAAAACCTCTTCCTCCTCAGTGGGCATAGAATTCGTATAACTACTGCAGCGCTTTGATTTTGGTTTAGATAACTACAAAAACAGAATAACTTTGCTAGTAATAATTTCAGTACTATTGCTCAAGGGTGCATGGCTGACTGATATTTCTTTGAATATTTTCTGTTTTCTTAAGGCATGGTTGAGACAAGTTAACTGAGTACTCTCTTTTGGCAGTAATGCAAAGAGATTAGAAGTTTTGGGGTTACCTCTGTTTCTCTGGCTGTCACTTAAAATGGCAATCCAAGACTGAGAAAATGTCCACTCACCTGAAAGAGCCTGAAATTTAAGACTCTTCTGAGGATAAAATAAAAATTCTCAGAGTTAAGGCATTTATGAAATGTCTTAATCAGAGAAGGGAAGACAGCAGCGAAGCTGCAGGATAACTGATAAGACAGCCAACCTTCAGCTGATGCAAGTTAGACACATGCTATAGCAGCAGGAAGCACCAAACCTACTGTTTCCACATGCAGTACAGCAAAGCCCACCTTGATCCTTGCAGCAGTCAATACTCCCAGTATCTGGCAGATCCTTTCCAAGAAGAGTGTTAGGGCCAGAGGATGACAGCTCTAAGGGAAGAAAAAGTCAGAGGTTAAATAAGAATGAGGCTTTGTTGCTATGTTTTGCTAGTCTTCTGAGGGTGGAGGTGAAATGAAGAGCCCTCTAATGCTGCCCTCCTAGAGCTCTCTGATACTGGCCTCTTGGAGAGTTACCAGGAAAACATTGGCTCTAACAGGTACTGGCATTTCAGGACAAGATGAGCAACTCAGCCCTTCATTCCACTAACATTTACTTAACACCTGCCAGCCCCTGTTTAACGTTGGAGCAGGGCAGACAGGCAGATTCCCTTCCCTCCTATGTTCACATTCTAACACTGGAACACACAGATAAACAAGAAGACCAGTCAATGCCACTCAGAAAAGTCAGCCAGTGTCAGGGGAAGGCTGGTGTGGCTGATGTAGAGCAAGTGGTCAGGGCAGGCTTTCTGCAGCTATACTTAAGACTTAATAAGGTCTAGGGAGTAGGGGCCAGCTAAAAAACAAGAGTAAGCCAGGCAGAGGGAGCAGCTGGCCCAAAGGCCGGGAAGCAGGAATGAGCCATGAAGGTTTAAAAACAATGGAAAGGCAAGCACTACCAGAGTATTGTGAACTGGGCACAGAGAAGGGAAGAGGAGGGCAGAGGGCTTTATAGGATAGCAGAAGAACCACATATATACAGGGTTGATGTGCACAGAAATTTAGGTTGATATGCTGTGCATAATCTGTCACCTTGTACTAAATGGAGAAAGATTTGCTTTGAAACCCATACAGTTGCTGCAGTTTTTAAATGACTTTTTAACTAGTTAAAATTTGCCTTGTGGGTGGATGCAAAATATATGCCACTGGCCAGAGGTCTATAGTTCATAGAACCACAATATGAATATCCAAAGAGTATAGCCTGAGACTACCCAACAGTGCATACATGTATCTCTTTTAACTCCCTAAGAAATTTCATTAAAATCTATGTTTAACAACTGCAGAAGGTACACTCATCTGCAAACAGAAATTGATTTTTTTAGGTGAGATCCCATCTTCATCAAAAATACTCAACTCTTGGAAGAAACTCAAGAACAAATGTGTCACTCTTAGGTATAAACCCAAGAAAAATGAAGCCACCAGTCCAAGCAAAAACTGTATGCAAACATTCATAACAGCATTATTCATAATGGCCTCCAAGTGGAAACAACCCAAATGTCCATCAACTATTAAATGGATAAACAAAATGTGGCAAACCTCTATAATATTAATTGGGCAACAGAAAGTAATAAAGTAGTGATATACACTACAGCATGAATGAATCCTGACAACATTATTCTAAGGGAAAGAAGCCAGTCACAAAGACCACATGTGATATGATCCCATTTACATGAAATGTGCAGAATAGGCAAGTCCATAAAGAAAGATCTGTGGTTGCCAAGGGCTGGGGGAAGAAGAGAATGGAAAGTGAATGCTAAGGGGTATAGGGTTTCTTCTGAAGTGCAGTAAATATTCTAGAATTAAAGAGTAGGCATGGTTGCACAACTCTGTGAATATATTAAAAACTACTGATTTGTATACTTTAAAAAGGCCAGTTTCGTGGTATGTGAATTATATCTCAGTAAAACAAAAGAATATCTGAAATGCTGTGAAGAGATGAAACAAACTTCAACTGGTCCAAAATGCTATATTCCAGTCAGCATTTCCAGACCCCATTAAAAAGGAGAAGCAGTTTAGTTTCACGCTTCAGATACTGTACCTGGTATATACACTCCCTGTGGGACACATTTACCCCACTGGAAAGACCACCCGGTTTTTGGAGTTTGTCTGTCTCATTTCATTTGGAACGTTTCTCTAGTTATTACCCTCTCTTGACTCCACCTACCAAACCTACTCACTCCATTCACGCAAATAAAATTAAAGCAGTAGTTGCTTTTGCGCTCTAAGTCTGTGGACAATTACAATTGTTTACCGCATGGTATTAATCATAGTTCTAATATTGTCAGCTTATAGAATTTATTCAGTTACATGGCCAAACCTGGTGCTTTTCATCTAGTCAAGCTGAAAATGTGTGCCCTTGTCAAAAAAGAGAATGGGCAAACGGGTAGACACTGGAATACAAAACAAATTCAAGCTTACTACTCCAAAATCTCTTCCTGTATACATCTTAACATGGTGTGACATTAAGACTACATTCATTTTAAATAGTATTTTAGAAGTTTATGATTTATTTTAATGTATAAGTAGAATGTACAATTTCACAAAGGAATAAAGTAAATTATATAACAACAACAACAACTGCAAAATACTACTGTGAGATGATTAATGTAGAATCAGAGAGCCAGGTAAACACAGAGAAGGGTTCTTGATCACGAAATGTAGTGGAAGAAGGAGAGCTCTCTCCTGGGACTGAAGATCGTTCTACCTGCTCCCGCTAGCAAATCATCGCAGAGGCAGCAAAGCTTTTATGAACAAGGATTCTGAAGCCCAATCCACACTTAGCATGATTCCACGATTAAGTATTGTGGCTCCAGGCACAATACTTAATTTCCCTGTGCCTTAGTTCCTTCATCTATAAATAGGCACAATAACAATATTAATTTAACAAGGTTCTTAAAAGAATCTAAGGTTATATAAAAACAAATAATAGATCTAAAGGGAGAGGCAGATTGCAAGACAATAATAGTAGAGAACTTCAACACCCCATTTTTGGAAATGGACAGATCATCCAGGCAGAAAGTCAATAAAGAACATTGGGATTAAAGTATACTTGAGACCAAATGGACCTGACAGATATTTGCAGTACACTTCATCCAACAGCTGTAGAATACACATTCCTCTCAGCAGCACATGGAACATTCTCCAGAACAGAACATATCTAATAGAACATATCTTAGGCCACAAAACAAGTCTCCACAAATTCAAGTCACTATCATATCCAAGTGTCTTTTCTGGCTCCAATGGAGTAAAACTAAAAATCAATAACAAGAACTTTGGAAGCTGCCCAAACGCATGGAAATTAAACAACATCTTCCTGAACAATCAACGAAGTAATTAAGAAGAAAATTTAAACATTTTTTGAAATAAATGAAAATGGAAACATAACATACCAGAATCTAACAAACAAGGCAAAGGCAGTACTGAGGGAATACTATAGCACCATATGCCTACATCAAAAACGTAGAGAGAATCCAAATAAATAACCTAATGATGCACCTCAAGGAACTAGAAAAGAACAAACCCAGAATTAGTATAAGGAAGGAAAGAATAAAGCAGAAATAAATGGAGAAAAAAGAATCGAAGAAGCTAATACTAGAGATCAGAATAAAAGAGATCAGAAACGCACCTGGTATATAGTACGCATTATATGTATTTGTTAAATGACTAAAATAGAGCGTACTAGTTAAGTCTTGCAAAATGACTAAAACTGTGCTGCATATTTGGCTCTAAACTCCTTTGTAGCTAGAGGGGAAAAAAAATTTCCAGACTCAGAGGGAGAAAGAAAATGTGTGTATCTCCATATGTTAGGCGGAAGGGGAAAGGGAACCATATTTTGTTCTCCAGGAGGAAAAAGAAAGCATTTGACACTTCGCTTTAACACATTCACTGCAGGCCTGTACACAACAGGCAATGAGCAATACTGCAGACCAGGAAGACCACCATGTGATGTCATTTGATCGTTTTTTACCATGTCTCTCAATAAATCCCAAGGCATAACTCTAGAATGTCTTTAAGAGGAAGACAAGGCAATGTGATACAAATACACAGCCCTGATGGTCGGCTCACAATTGCACCAGAAATCTCCAGTCCACCTTTTACTTTCATTTCCCTCTGTCATGCTTCTGATAACCAGAGCTGAGGAGGAGACAGTTCCAGATTTCTGAAACAAATTCTCTAACATTAGGAGATGGCCAAAATATCACCACATAAAAACACTGAGTAACCTGATGCATTGAAAAGCAACTCCCCCTAGAAGCATCTGTTTTTAAGTTTAATGGACTTTAGAGTCATTGTCTGGCAAAAGAACAGCCATAATCATCTCAGGGGATTAAACAACTTGGAAGAATATTCCTATTAGTCATAGTCATCTCAGGTTCTACCTAACAGTTCAACACGGAACTTTTCCAAATTACAAAAGCTATTATGCTTAAGCTACATTTTCTTGTAAATCGGACAGTAGATAAATTTTCTTTAAAAGACTAGTTATATGATTTATAGCTAGAAGAGGACCCGGGTTCCTTCAGATAGTCCCATATTGTATATGGGGGACATGATAAAGTTGAATTTCCATGGCTATTACACAGTCCCGTGAATAAGCTGATGTCCCAGTGACTTATCAACCTTTTTCATTCCATTTGGCAAAGTATGTTGTTCTTAAGGCTAATTATTTAATAATGTTTTCCTCAGATAAAATGGTACTAATCTTTTAGTGGTTAATCAACTATAGCAATGTATTTTCATTTTAATACCTGTGGAGTATTGCTAAAAAGAGTAGAAATAGATTAGTTCCGTTGCAGTTCATGGATACTAAATGCAGCATTCTGCAAGGGAGGAGAGCAAGAGATGGCATTCGTAACTCACTCCTGTGTGTTCTCAGAGACGCCTTTCTCGACCCTCCCAGACCACATTCGGTTTCCTTTCCCTTGCTCCACATTACTCTATACTTTTTCTCCAACATCACAGTTTGCTAACTGCAACTTTGGTTATTTATTTGTCAAGATTTGCTCGTCAGTTTCCAGTCAGACTGCAAGCTCTGTGAGGGAAGGGATCACATGTGTGAGATTCTCTGCTTTCTGGCACAGAATTGAGGGTTATAAATATTTGTTCACTGACTAACTCCCACTTTATAAGATGTGTCCCTAAAGAGTCACATGTCAGTTCCCCTCAAGATAAGGAAGTCACTGAAGTAATCTTATAAAGGGACAAAGTAGGCCTCACTAATATCATTTAATATTATGAAACAGTGACCCACAAGTTCGAACTCTGAAAATTACCGAAGCAGAGTCCATGGGTACAGCTATGGCCAATGTGACTGTGAAGGGGAGGGAGAAAAG